CCCCAAAACCCCAAAACCCCAAAACCCCAAAACCCCGAAATATTGTAGTCTAATTGACGGTAGATTATTTATTAAATTGCTAGACTTATGGCTGCTTTGCTTCTTGAATTGCTTTCCTGATTCTTGATTTTGCAATATCGTTTGAGATTTCCTATGCAAGAGTTAGAATTAAACTTACCTCGAATACCTCGTTAATTGTTGGAATTGATTGCAGATCATTGAGAAGAACACCAAATCCTTTAATGGTCTCTTTCCTCATGTAAAGAGAGTGCAATTGCTCTCCAATCATATCTACCACCGGCTGTAATCTGCTAAGATCAGCTCCGAGAATGAGATCAAGCTTGTTCTTGAGAAGTTCTAAGAGCAGCTGGTTCATTTCTTTACTTTCTTCTAGATCAAGCTTGATCGGCATTCTTTCGATCCAGAATACCATTAGTTCGTCCATGTTATCTCCTTCAGCATAGTTCTGAATAATTTTTCCAAGGGAGCTAACTGCGTTATCTCTACAATGAAGGTATTCTTCCTTATCTTGATCACCTTGTGGGATGTCACAGGCGATTTTTCATAGTTCTACTGCTTTTTCAACAAATGAAGTGAAGCCTTCTTTTCACCATACAGCAGCCATTCCGAGGCCAAAGAGAGCAGATTGTCTAAGAACTGTCACCTCACTGCTGGAGTATTGGATGAGGAACTCAATTAGAGAATCGAACTGATCTTTAATGTAGTCATACCCCAAATGCTCAATCATATCTACCATAATGTAAAGAGAAAACCTCTTTTTAATATCTGGGCCAGATTCGTTAAGATATTCAGGGAGAATGTCATCAAAAAGAGTCTTGCAGAGTGCTCCACAGTATTCTTTATGTGTTTTGAAGAGGCTTCCAAAAATCTCAGAAATGGCAATCTGGAACTCGTCTTCATTGTAATTCTCCATCTTCATAAGCTCAAAATCTTCATGGTCAATGTTTTCACCCTGGCTTTGGATGTTATCTTTTGAGTAATCTTCATTGATAAGCTTCCTTTTGTCTGAATTTTTGAGCATTTCGATACACTTCTTGCACATAGCATTGACAACTTCTTCGCTCATGAAAGGACTCTTCATCTCTTTAATAACATCTCTGATTGCTTGGCACTGAACTCCAAGAACTTCGGTTTCATTTTCAATTTTAGAGGCACTCCAGAGTTCATCAAGATATTTCTCAGCAACTCTAACTTGGAGGTCTCTGTCATCTGGGCACCCTTCAATGACACTGACCATGAGGCCATGAATACAGCTTGCGGAGGATGAACGAATGGTCTCACTCTGTTTGAACGTAAGCATTGGGATGAGGATCTGACTCACAGGCTCAACATAAGCAGCAAAGCCTGACTTAAGTTCTCTCACAAAAGCTTCAATCATCTGAAGTGCTGAGTTCTTCTCATCAATCTCTGAGGAAACTATGTTGTTGTCCTCTGTTTGGTCAGTGAAGAGGTTTTCCTCCTCAGCAGTTTTAAACTCAGAATTGAGACTTGCAATTTTCAGGAGAGTTGGAACGATCTGATCTAGATACGGAATAAATTCTTCATTCATAAGGTAGCACAACTTCTCCCATGCAGTCAAGAGATATGACTGTAAGACATGGTGCTCGAAAGATTTATCAATAGTCGTGTTTGTTTGAGTGACTCCTGTCTCATCAAAAATACTGTTTTGAATCTTTAGAAGAATACTGATCAAGTCTTCAGAGTGGGGTCTGAAGATATCTATTCCAACTGCAACGCAGATTATCACTATACTTTCAATTAATTGTCCCTTGAATTGGTAGTATTGAAGTCCAGAATTTTCAACAAGGAATGGAGATAGGCTCTTGATTGTCTCTTCGAAATAGGGCTCGTATAAACTTTCAGCTGCTTCAGCAACTGTTGCAAGACATGTGACTGCATTCTCTTTGCACATGGTATTTCCTTCATGGATAATTTGAATAAGCTTTGTTGCTAATGTCTCAATATGAGAGGCGACAATATCATCAGTGCAGCCTTCAAGGAAGTTGGTTAAAGAAGCAGCTGCATGTGCTTGAAGTCTTGGAAATTTATCATCCAAGCTTTGCACCATTGTGTTGAGAAGATGCTTCTCGAAGTGAGTCTGGAATGCTGGTTGAAGATCTGTACTCATTTGCCCAATAACATGGAAGGCAGCATATCTTACTTTGGGATGCTCATGATAATAATTCTTGATAGCTTGTTGTGCCAATGGCTCAGCATCATAAATATTGTCAATGTATTCTCCTAAGCAAGCAATAATCATCAGATTTGCATTGATGATTCTCCAATCTTGTACTTCACTGAGATTGCCTCTAACTTCAATTAAAGATTTGACGATAGGAAGCATTTTAGTTGCTCCAAGTTCTCTGATAAAATTGTCAATAGACTTTGAACAAACATGGACCGGGTCTGTACTGAATTCCTCCTCCTCTATTCTAGTTCCATCATCAGGGTTGATCCACTCATCGTCAAGCTCTTCGTCGATGTCTATCATGACATGGTAGAATACTTCTACTACCTTTTCAACTATTTTGAGCTTGTTTTGGAAAACAGTCTTGAGTCTAACAATGATAGTCGAAATGAGTTCTACAGGAAGGATTCTGATAGTCTTTTTCTCAAAGTCCTTTTTCTGCATGATCTTTTTAAAACTAGTTCACATTTCGTTGAATGAAGAAACAAGGAACCTTGGCTCTACTGAAGTCACTGCTTTAAATTCAACCAGTCATTTCTCAAGAGTGTCTTCATCGTCTCTATCAAATGCGTTCATTGTTACTTTAATCATGTTCTCTACTAGATGTATGAAGTGTTCAGAGTGTTGTCTCTCAAGGATGATGACTAATTTACAGAGTGTCTTAAGCCCCATGAAAGAAATTTCTGTGTCTTCGCTAGCCATCGTAACGTTAAAGATGGTGATAAGGTCATCCTTAACACTAATGATCTCGTTGAATAGCTTCTCAAAGATTCCAATGTAAATATTTAGGGCTGCTAAGACCTGGGTCTGGGCTCCAGATTCAATGAACCTCTTACAGAGTTCATGTGTCTCTGTAAGCCTAATTTGGTCTTCGATTTCATATAGGCTTCCAATGATTTCAGACAAGAGGTTGGCAAGATGAGGGATTATAATCTTGTCTTCTTCAGCTGCAATGACTTCAAATATCTGCTTCTCGATGAACTCTCTGTTCTCCTTTGATAGCTTTCCCCAGCAGTTGGTGTCATGTTTCTGTGTGGCCAAGAATGCAGATCTGAGGAGAATTGCTGTCAAAACACGAACATTTTGAGCCATTTCCTTGTTCATGAGAACATTGAAAAGGTATACACAATAATTCTCTGGTTGGGTCTTCTTTGACTCAAGGAGCTTCTTTTCAGCTTCTTTTCTGACAGCATTATCGCTGCTTTGAGCTTCAGTGAGGATCTGAGTTAAAACTTCGATGTCTGAATTTTCCATTTTTAATATTCAATTTGGATTTATGATAAAGGGGTTTTGGGGTTTTGGGGTTTTGGGGTTTTGGGG